TGTGGACTTTCATTTGTTCATATGTCTTTTTGTTAGTTTCTTGTCTTTCATTAGTTCTGGGAAATTTTTAGTTATGACTGAAATTTCTTGTATATCTATTCTTTGTATTTCCACTTTCTACAACTTTAATTTTGTATAATATATGTCTTACCATTGTATTCTTTAATCAACATGAATTTTTTTTCACATCCTTATCTCTGTCATATTCCATTTACATTTTCTGATCTATGTTCCAAGTCACTATTTTTTTTAGCTGCACCTAATCTGTTTAGTCTACCAGTTTTCCGTTTCAACATATTTAGCTCAAATATGTCTGGTCATTTAAGGAAGCTGTCTTGTTTACTCACATTTCCACTGAAGTAAATATTAAAAATTTAGACATTTCATCCAGCTATTTTATATTCTGTAACCAATAATTTCAGTATCTATAGTTGAAGGAGGGGAGCTAAATCTGTTTAAGCCACTCTAAAGCTGAAAGAGAACTCTGATATCTCTGGGCTGATCCATTGGGTTGATTTTCTGACATTTAGTTCTTCACTTAAATTCTTAAAGAAAACAACTCATAATAGTATATTCTGTATAAGTTCCACGCACTAACCGATTACACCACTGTTGCTCCCATAAGAGTATATTCTCTTGGCATTTATGTTCATTCTTTCTGCTTTGGTATTTAAGTCCTCTAAGAACTTTACTTGATCTGTAAGGCAATATTATGAAAATCTCCAAATAATTATAATTAGGTACTTTAATTTCTAATATATTTTCATTAGGCATTTTGATGCTGTTTGGTATTTTTTTTTGTACTCATCATGCATATTTCCTCAACAATATGAGATGTTCTTGATCTTAATGTGTTTTGTTTGCTTGCCTGCTTGATTTGATATCCTGACTTCTGGAGAGGCAGTGTAGTATAATGAACATCCCTCAGATTTATAATCAAATTCAAACCATGTAACCATTTGTAACTTACTTACTTTTATTAATCCCTCTAGACTTCATTTTTCTCCGCTATGACAGGTAAATAATGCCTGCCTCATATAATTTTAGAAATATACATTAAATGTACTATCATATGATGAAGATTGCCTAACATGTGGAAGATACAACCAATCAGTTATTTTTGTTTCCCTAATATACCTGTGCCTTTGTCCCATCCCATTTGCCATTTCATTTTAGGCATATTTTTTGGAAGTTGCATTATTATTAGCTTTGTAGTTTTAGTCTACCATTTTAGGAGAAAAGTCTAGTTTTATTGTTACAATTGTTGCCTTTGTCTTGCTTAGTTTTATTTTCTATCTTTTGCTCTACAGGCTATATTTCTTTGCTTTTGCCTTCTGCATGAATATGAAGTTTCATTAATTCCATTCGTGATTACCCTAAATATCTTTCAACTTTATTTTATGTGATTATCGGAACAAACAAAATAACGACTTTATGGACTTCAACTAAATGCTTTTTTCCCCCACATTTCATGTCTTCACATTTAAGTTATAATTTAATTCACTTATTTCATTTTACACTGAATTTTATAACTACACTTACACTATCACTTTACTTCTACATATTTAAATGGTTTCCATGTGAGAGGAATATGTAGCTTTTCTGGAAACTAAATGTTAGCTTGGCACTCACAGCTAGACTATGGCGTTCTCCTGTTGAACATTAGCAATTCCCAAATCTCTGACATCAATAAGGTCATCCAGGGATACTGAAAAAATGAGTAATTGTATTCATGCCAAAGCAAACCAAAAAAAAAAAAAAAAAAAAAGGACTGTACAAACCATAAAAGTTTAACTCCACACTCCCTCTTGTGGTTCACATGAGTAACTGCTGCTCCTTTCCATTCCTTCAACTTCCCACATTAAAACTAAGGCATCTGATAGCAAAATTACCTCCACTTTCTGATAGTACTCAAGCCAGAAGAAACCCTCACTCACGTGGCCCCTACCCCAAATTGCCTGCATGTGCTCAAATTCTATAAGAAGCCCCTTCTTGCAACTTTTACGGGAAGCACCCACAGTTCCTGATGGCTCACATTCTTGCGTAGCAAATATCATTAAAATTCATTTTGACTATACTTGTGTCCTAGTGGTCTTTGACGGCAACAAGTGATGGAATCTGCTGCAGAATTCTCTACCATCATCTCCCAAATCTTGAATTATCTCTTTATGGTTGAAGTATTTTTCAATCCTATCACCCTCTGCCAGGATACCCCAGACTTTATCCTCACCTATAAACCTACTGTAGCGGAGTACTGAATTTGTGGGTCTTCATCCCTTTAACCTACAGTTCAAAATTGAAAAGCCTAAGGTTGTCTATTCATTTATTTCTCTAAGGATGGATTTTCAGGGGAGCTTTTTTATAGTTACAAAATGTTTTAATCTCACAAAAGTTTCCATAGGGCAAAAAAAAATGAAAAATTTTAAAAATATAAAGTTCTAACAGAAATGCACTTGTAATCCCTTCGTCGCTTTGATATAAAATATGGTATGCTTTCTTCCTGGTCAATTTTGGGGTCTTCCTGTTCATTTTCATCTATCTGCATTCTAGGAGTGGTTTCCAAGGTCAGCTTCTCAATTTGTCCAACTTTCTGGAATTATATTCTTTACAGCCTTTAGTGAGTATTTGAAGCTAGCATGTAGGTCCCCACGTAGTCTCTTCTAATTTCTCCCAATTCTTTCCTCAACAAAGCATCATTCTCCTACATCTTAAGACACCAGTTTTGCATCCATGTGCCCAGAAATACTGTTTAGGTAGTGCAGATTTTTCCACAGGCCTGTTACCGTATTTATTCACCTTTAAATAATGAACTAAATAAATCAATCCATTTCCAAGATGTACAAATCACTCTCAATCACCTTCAGAGCCCACTTGAGTGCTAGTAGAATCCCAGGCAGCCAGCTAACTGTTCATTCCCTTTCTGGATGCAAGTACATCTGAGTCCTCCAGACTTGACAGGTCACCCCAGTTCAAGAAAGACTCCAACTTGGTGCTGTGGTTCATTAGACAAGAGGACAAGCAAAACCCCTCTGAAGTTGAGCTCCTGTCTTGCCTCATGGCTCATTCATCCTGCCAGGGTTCGGCTCTGTTGCTCAGGCTGGCTTTGGTCCCACTGGTATGCTTTCCTTGGTGTGGCTCTTCTTACTGGAGGTGGAAGGGTTCTAAAGAATATTTTTTACTGTTGGTGGGATTTTAAATGTTGCCACTCTGAAGGCTAAAAGTTGCCCTACTGGACTATTCCACCAATGCAAAATCTGCCTCCGTCTTTCACCCCATTATATTTCTAAATCAGCAGAGGAAGGACTGTCATTTATAAGATTAATTGATGTAGGAAATTTTCTTATGTAAGTATACAGCAGCATTAATCCCTCCTGCACTATCTTTAGGGCACACTGCTCCTAGAGGCTTTCATATACTGTTAACTCTTCTTCACAGTTTATGGTACTAAGTGCTCCTTGGCTGGACTGTCAGTCCTGAGATTGGAGCCCTAAGTGCTTTCTCCTGTGCCTGGACAGGAGAAGGAAATCAAGTCAGTCAATCTTGGGCATGACTGCTATACTTGTCTCTTAACTCCAACCTTCACTATTAACACTGTTCCCAACAGAGGATCCTTTTAATAAAATCATTCCCTTCAACATCAACTGTAAACAAAAAAGATTGTATTTATTACAACTCAAGAAGGAAGAAATGAATTGCTACTAGTAGTTATTTATGCTAAATACTTAAAATTCTTAAGAATGTAATACAATGGATATGTCTTGTTCTTGCTACCCCCAATCCATTTCCCCTTCTAATAACACCCTGAATTTCAACCACTCCTAAGCTCAAACCCGTCCCCAAACTGTGCTTTGGGTTATATTCACTTCACACTCTACCATAAGGATGCCCCAGGGAAAAAGAAAACCTAATCCTAAGTCAATGAGGAGATCATTCTAGGACTTCTAGAAAAAGCACGCTCTTTTGGCCTGTTTGTCCCATAAGGAGGGCCTAGGACAACATGTGGAATGACTATGTCTTGTCTAGAATCTGGCATTGCAGGGGGATTCAACAGGTCTGAGGGTAAAACAAACACCAGGGCAGAAAGAGTGCAGATGAGACCCTGCAGACATCCTGTGTGTGAGCTGTTCAATCTAGAAGGTTCAAACGTAGGGAGTCCTCTAATGTTTTCAGTTATGTCAATCAAAAACTTTTTCTTTGTTGCTTAAGCCAATTTAAGTTAGGTTTCTGTTTAAGTATCTATTAAATTCCTAATTAACATAATATACAAATAAAATACTTTCTTGCCTCAGTAAGTCCACTACCTCAATACTGTACTTTTTGTAAAGAAATGGAAGGATGTGTTCACTTGGTGACCATTCACCAAGGAGCAAGTTCATGACCTGTGCACTTGCTTGTAAGGCTGTTACTCTTCAATTAAGAAAAAGAAATGCTGGGCTGGGGATTTAGCTCAGTGGCACTGTGCCTACCTCACCAGTGCAAGGTCCTGAGTTCAATTTCTGGTACCAAAAGAAAAAGAAAAAGAAATGCTGCTGAATACAGTCAGCTATCAATATACAAAATCACATCATTTTCTAATTTTAAAAAATTGATCATAAATAGTCTATCAGATCAGAGTCTCAGGCTCAGATAAGGACAAAATCTGCTGTAAAGCTTCTTGGACCCAGGCGGCAGCCCAACAAACACTGGTTAAAGAAGTAAACCTTGGGGTTTGTTGTTGAAACTTTAAAGAAAAATGTGACTTTTAGTCATAGGTGACTCATAATCTACAAAGTATGCAAGACACAGATATAGTCATTATAAATATAATCCTAAAAGTGATAATGGGGAAACCAAGGTATTGTTGGAGATGGGTAAGACTAAATTTGATTTGTTGTTAGGATAAAAAGCGAGAATTCATGCGAAAGAGCCAGAAAGCTCTTACGTGGAAAAAAAAAAAACCCAAGTCATATTTTGTGACAGTAGAAGAGAAACTCATGAAGGTCTAAAGAACCAAACACATGTTGCATTATGCTCAAACTAAGACATTTTATTAGCTGGCTTTACAACTTAAATAGTATCTTAGTTATCAACAGAACAGCTTCCATTAATTCCAAATTTTGCTTTCAGAAGTTGACTTGTTGGAAGGGCATTTTTATGCTCAATATAAAATAGCTTTATTATAACCTTCAGCAAATCTTGCTTAGGGTTAACTTTAAGAAGTTCCCAGGTCTAATATGAACTATCTCAAAAGCCCAATTTAGTTATTTTCCTTAAAATGTACAGTACATTTGAATGAAAAGAAAAACCTGTAAACATTTTTGGTTTGGGTGGAGGTACAGTCTATTTCATGATGATGTCAGTATCTTCTAATACTATTTCTGATACTTGCCATAAATTTCAGCAAAGTAAATAAATCCATTTATTTACTACCAAATGTACTACCATTTCAAAGGGAAAGGAGTTTTTTAAATGAAAGTGCAATATTAGCCTTTCTTTGACTGTTGGAAACTTGAAATTTTGCAGAAATTATTATTAATACTTCCTTGCGGCTATTTATAGCTTTAAATATTCTCTCTCATTTAAAAAAATATCAATTGTACATCATTTCTTGAACTGCATAACTGTATTCTTTAAAATCAGTGGTGAGTTATTTCATTTGGAAGCATGGTAAAATTCTGATCCATCATTCTTTTATCTGTAAATAATAAAAAAAAAAAAGACAGTTGCTATAATTCAATCAATCATTCTTTTTATCTGTAAGGGAAAAATATCTGCTACAATTTAATCAATTGCATTATAAGAATAGTAACAAAAAGAAAATAACAGTGATTTGTTGTCTCAAGAGTAAACTTTATTCTCCTTCCTATATTTTCCTCCTTCCCTAGTCATGCTATTTCTAAGATTTACTATACTCCTTCCCTTATTTTCTACAAGAAATTCTACCTTCTTTTTAGAATGCTCTTTCATAAAGAATGTCTTGAGAGACTAAACATGATGTTGAAGACAATGATAAAGCTCATCTTTATTGACTGTAGAGACAATTACCATCCCAATGATCTGTGCTTTGCATGGATCATTCCATTTCACAACTCTAGAGGCAGATTCCACTGCCCCATTTTTATTTTTATTTTTGGTACCGGGGAATTGAACTCGGGACCTTGCGCTTGTGAGACAGACGCCAGAACCACTGAGCTAAATCCCTGGCCCTGCCCCATTTTTATAGATAAATAAATTAAAGGAGAAACATATTTGTGCTAACAGAAGTCAGTGGAGCAAGAACACAAATGGGCATTTTAACTCTGGAACTTGTTCACCTCTACCCTATACTGCCCTCCACAAATACTTTATACAAATGATGTGCATAAAGTTTCTTTGTACTTTAAAAGCTTAAAAATAAGATTTTTCATGCTTCATGTGTAAATTTTTATACAACTCAAAGCTCTGTATTCAAAGTATATATCCAATTAAATGAACTCCGCTGCCTGCTGCGCAAGCACAAGGACCCGAGTTCGATACTTGGTACCAAAAAAAAGAAAAAAAAAAAAGACTAATAAATGAACTCAACAGTTTTATGCAGAAAGTAATCATATGAAGTCTCCTTAAAATACAATATTCATAAAATTCATATTATGATAATGTGAATGAATATTCAATTTACTGATATTTCTTGGTTCATTTCTCTTTCCTCCAAAATTCAATTATGCTATGCATTATGTAATAGGAATGTTTCAGAAATATCACTAATATAGTAACTGAACTTTTTGAATGAATCATTTCAAAAGCACTAAGAGCTACTTAAAGAAAAAAAACTTTAATGAGGGCTCTCTATTAAACAAAATCATTATTCCCAATCATCTAGATACTCACAATTTGGATTGCATTCTGATGGACCTATTTTACAACAGCCTTTTTTAAATTTTGAGCAATATCATCAGTAAAGAATAGTTTGAAAGATTCAGTGTAAGGTTTATGACCAAACATTTTCTTCCCATCATTCTTTTAATTTTTGATATAAGTTTAAATTTCTTTTCCCAATACCTTACTTGGGTTTTCCTTAAGCCACAAAATCTCAGTAATCATCCTTAAAAGGTAAAACAAAACAACCCCACAGCCATGGACACACAATCAGTCACTATAAAATACCTCCATGACAACACCAGCAGCTATTGTGGAACCACTGTAACGCAGCATAAACCTTCCCAGCTCTTTAAAGTCTTTGTAGAGCTCAAGAGCCACTGGTCTTTGTGTCTGTAGCTCTACCAATGCATTCTGGCCTTTCGTTAACAACCTATTAAGAGAGGAAGAAAAAAAGAACAAATGGATATACATTAAAGGTGAGTAAAGGAGTAACAACAACCTGGAAAATGTGTATTTCAAATTCACTGTCTTTCAAAACAAAAGAAAAACTTTTGTGTATTTTTTTAAATGAAAATATCCTTTTGGGTTTTTCTAGGTTAGTTAAAAAAATGAGAGGAGTAATTCTGGATTTAAGAAACATTAGGTATTTCATATGTATTTTTTAACCAATCTTCAAATACAACTCTATCCCCACAGGACCACTATGAATGACCTCAAATGCTCAAGGTCCTTCTTGATTAATTCTTTCCTTTGATTTCCTGCAGAAATTAAGATGTTTAATTATCTAATAAAAATGATATTAAGGCTTACTTCTATAGAGAAGTATTTGTATTTTCAGAGGAATCTAATGCCTATATCTTTCTAAGTAGAATATAATTTGTTGACTGTATATAAAGAAATTATCTCTATTGTTTTATTCTTTGGTGCTGAAGATCAAACCCAGGTCCTTGCTCATGCAATACTAAGCACATGTTCTACCACTGAGCTGTACTCCTGTTATCTTTAAAGAGGACAATTTCCTGGTGCTAAGATTACTCTAAGTCAGTCTGTTCCTACCACTTACCCTCTTTTTCCACATAAGAATAATGGTTTCTTAGCAAGGACCTGAATTGTTATTTGGGACAAAAAATTCCATAAAGAGCTTTACCACATTATGATATTTGTGGGAAATGAGAAGGACAGGACCTGAGCTACATTAGAAATGGTTTCACATAAGTAAGTAAACAAAATCTTTGTGCATGGACCCCATCCAAACTTACTGAAAGAGGTAGAACCCAAAGGGAGATATTTTGAAACGTCCTCTAATTTAATTTTGATGTACTCTAGAAAGAGACAGAAATCATAAATTCTCCTAAAAGATTAGTTCAGGAATAAATAGGCTAAGCCAAACAAGTTCATTTCAAAAAATCTAAATATTGGCTTTGGATGATTTCATTCAGCCCAAAGTCCAATTCCAACTGGAGGAGAGAATCAAGATATATTCATGTAAAAAAAAAAGATATATTCATGACTTATCCTTAATTAGTGTTCTATACAGTTAAATTCCACTCTGTATAAACTGATTGAGTCTATGATGTGACTGAACTAGAATGAAGGGGAATGGCAAGGTGGTAAAGAGTATAAAATAAGGGCCGGGGATTTAGCTCAGTGGTTTCGCTGTCTGCTGTGCAAGCGCAAGGACCCGAGTTCGATCCCCAGTACCAAAAAAAAAGAAAAAAAGAGTGCAAAATAAGAGAAGACAAAGTTTTAAATAGATGATAGGGAAAACCAACATAGGAATACATTAAATCCTAGCACCACTGAGCTAGGATTCTGTAACCAGAAAAGGGAGAAAAAAACTCAGGACACAGAAAATTCAGGAGAAACTGAAAGAAAACTCATGGACCAATTTCAGATTGAAAATCTTTCAAATCAACTGTCTGGGTCAAGCACCCTGGCTCTGCACAAAGAAATATAATTTAGGTAACCAACTAAATGGGTTAGAAGCCAGCCTCTGCCACTTGTGAGCTTTGTGTCACTTTGCTAGCTGCTTCCTATGACTGCTGAGAATATAAGTCACATAAAAGCATTCGGGGTGCACCTCACAATAATGAGGTCCTCAAGGAATGGTAGTCTTAGGCTGGGGGTGCAGCTTAGTGGTACAGCTCTTGCTTAGACTGTGCAATAAGCTGAGTTTGATCCCCAGCTCCAGGAAAAAAAAAAGTTCTTATAGAGTATTACATTTTTCAAAACATTATGTCAAACATTCACACTAGGAGCTAAAGTCCCCTTCGTATTCAGATGAGACACCTTCAAGGGAGAGGTCAGCAACCCTTCCTCCTTGCTGAGAAGAAGGCCTGAGTTTAGAGCAGGTTCTCTTCCCCTTGTAGCCAGCGCATTAACCCATTAACCACTGTGGGACTCTTAATGCAGGTGCAAAAGGTGAGGAACTCCCAAGGACAAAAAAGGGGATTTTGGGTGGGATTCCCCACAGGCTAAACTTCAGGAAAACCCCGAAGCTGAAGCAGTCAAGCCAAACTGTGATTGCTACCCTTTAGTTGAACTAGAATAAGTTATGTGTATTTTGTTACATTCATCTCTAGCATTTTGAATTTTTGTTTTTATTTACAGTACTTAGGGGCCGGGGATTTAGCTCAGTGATTTCGCCATCTGCTGCGCAAGCGCAAGGACCCGAGTTCAATCCCTGGTACCAAAAAAAAAAAAAAAGATAAAAGAAAATACAGTACTTAGTTTTGCAGAAAGTACTTTCTCTGAAAATTGCCAACCTAATCTCCACCAAATGGAAACTGTCCACAACTAGGCCTGGATATTAAGTGGTATCAAGAGCCAGAACAGTGGCGATCACCTCATCCTAAGGCTCCACATGGACTTCTGAGCAGAAAATACTTTCCAAGTGGCGGGAAAAAAACCAAGTACTCCCAAGTGTGGGAATGACCTTCTTAGCATAGGGAATGAGCTCATTAAGTAGATGACAGTGAAGGAAAGTACAAAGCTAAAATTTGAAAGCAGTGGCTAGACATCTCTGAATTCATCTTTGAAAGAGTAGGACTTTTTTTGAATGCCCTTACCTATACATCATCAGGATCTAGAGCCTGATACATATATACACATAATTCACAACCCTTACCACTATACATAATAGTAATTGTATGAAACATTCATACCTAAACAGGAGCTTAGACATGTGTTCTTAGTTTGTATTAATCTAGTCATTAAAAACATTATTTCTGAGGGGCCGAGGATTTAGTTCAGTGGTTCTGGCACCTGCCTTGAAAGTTCAAGGTCCTGAGTTCAATCCCAGGTACCAAAAAAAACAAAACAAAACATTATTTCTGGAATACTATACAAATGAGTTAACCTGTAAAGAATTTTCTTAAATTGTTAGTGTTTATGATTTCTGCATTCAAATACTTACTTGGGTTTTTTCTTGGTGACTTCGCCAGTGCTTTTGTTCAAGACACTAATCAATCGTTTAATGACAGCGGGTTCACTGACGGTTTGGTAGTGTAACAGCACCTAAAACAAAAACTTTTTAACACTGAAAACTGTTTCCACAGCAGATCTGGCCTCTTCTACTGACATTTACATGTAATTATACCCAGTTTGGCAGTACTGTTGGAGTTGGTCACCATCTCCAGGTACCTAAGTCCTACCATTCTAATCAGGTGGTACTTAACTAAGGGAAAACACTTGTGAGAGGTAGCTCAAATTTCTACCCTTACAGTACAGCATAAACTTTAGTAAACTGCACAAGCTTCCTGTCAGCTTTTTCTTCTGCAAAAGTGGAGGATAATATCTTATCTAAGTGACTGCAAAGATTAAGAGACTGACTCATTTATAACAATGTACTATTATTGTACTGTACTATTATTTTTATGTAAGGAGTAGAAGGAAAATAACCTGGGACTGAATCCCAACTCTCAGTCTGTAACTCAGTTTTCTCAGTTGTAAAACAGGAAGGCTTTGACAGTGCTGTGATGAAAAATAGGATGCCTCACAGCACCTGGTATTGTAGATGTTCAACTACTGAGAATTGTCTCAACATAAGAGAAGGGGATAACATCATATTCATCAACAATTGAAATATTTGGTTTTTCAGTGAAAGTGATGAAAAAATGGATCCTGGCCCAACCACTTAACATTCATATAGTCACAACCTCTCAGAGTCTCCATTCCTTATCTGTTAACAGAGGCAATACTAAGACGGGACCACACTCTCTTACTTGTAATTCCCAAATCCCAAAAGATTGCAAACCTAAACTTTTTTCCCCAAAGCCTGTTATAAATCTATTAAGATAACAAAACTGGACTTGAAGTGAGCCAATTCACTGTCCTGTGTATCTCACATAGTGTTAACAGTAATACGTTTTGGTGCAGAAACATGCTTCATCACAGTTGTTGATGTTGCCTCCCTTCCTGTTAGGAGTTTTAGAATAATACATGCAGAGTTTTTTGTTACCAAAATCCTCATTTCTGAGTTCTGAAATACACTAGTCTGAAGGGTTTCAGGATTGGAATTTTGCTCCATGTGAAGTCATGAGAATCAAATATCTAGTATTTTATAAGTTGTAATGGGGACATAATGTTAGCTGCAAAAGAAGTTACTATTTTCCTTAAACTTCTAGGTAACCTATATTTTAAAAATATCAACACATATATGGTCACATGACTTTCAACAAGGGTTCCAAGATCATTCATTAGGCAAAGAACAGTCTTTTCAACAAACAGTCTTTTCAACAAATGCTGGCTAAGAAAACTGGATATCCTCATGCAAAAGAATGAAGATAAAGCTTTACCTACTACCATATATAAAAATTAGCTCAAAATGGATCAATGACCTAAACATATGAAGTAAAACTATGAAACATAGGGCAAAAGTTTCCTGATGCTGGATTTGGCAACTGTTTCCCGGGCATGATGACATCAAAGGCATAGGCAACAAAAGAAAAAAAAGTAAACTGGACTTCTTCAAAATTACAACTCTTAGTCCATCAAAGAACACCATAAAGACAGTGAAAAGGGAACCCATAGAATAAAAGAAACTCACAGCTGATAAAGAATTAATATGCAGAACAAATATGCAACACAAATAAAGAATTCCTATAACTCAACAACAAAATAATCTAATTAAAGGAAAGAAGGGAAAGGAAAATGATGAGAAATGGAAAAAATGGAAATAAAGTCTTTGTAAATAGGGAAGGATGGAGGGCGGGAAGGGAGAGCTAGGAATGGGGAAAAAATAAGAACCAAGATGCATTATGTAAAGGTACAATTCCCAATGAGAAATGTAATTGTGTTGTATACCTACAATGTACCAATAAAAGAATTTAATACAAAAAAATAATAATAATCTAATTAAAAAATGGGCATAGGACTTCAATAGCCATTGCCCCAAAGGTACACAAATGACTGAATAAGTACATGAAAAGATTGTCAACACCACTAATCATTACAGAAATACAAATAAAAATCACTATGAGATACCATTTTATACCCATTAGTTGAGCAATTAAAAAACAAAATTAACTCATTGCCTCAGAAAAATGAAATTGACAAGAACCTTGTAAATGAAGAAAAGAGAATTCTTGGTACACTGCTGGTAGGAATGTAAATGGTATAGACCCCATGAAAACAATTTAGGGTTCATCAAGAAGTTAAACATAGAATTACCATATAATCTGGCAATTTCACTCCTAGGTATATGTCAAAAGAACTGAAAGCAGGGACTCAGCATCATCATTCATAATAGCAAAAAGACAAACAACTAAATGTTGATCAACAAAGACTGTGTAAGCCAAATGTGATATATACATAATGGAATGTTATTCAACCTTAAAGAGGGCTAGAATCTAATATATGGTACAACATAGGTGATCCTTGGAAACACTGTGACAAGTGAAATAACCTAAACACAAAAGCATAAATATTGCATCATTCCAGACATGACAGACATTGTGAAATTTGCTTAATTATAAAATTATAAAATTGGTAAATTTTGTTATGTATAATTTGCCACTATAAAACAAAATCAAACATGAATTCACTTACAACCTAATCCATTCTATGATTTATTTTAAAATACTGTATATAGAGTGTGTAATGAAGAGAAATTTAAATATATTTATGTAGTACTGAGGAATTAGTCTCTAAATAGTGAAATTTTAATTTCTAAAAAAAAATTCCTGTTTAAAAAAATATTTTTTGGAGCTTTACTCCCATAGTGAGTTAATTGACAAAAATAACCATTTTTTAATAATCAAATTTTTTCCTAGTATTTGTGAATTAATATGCACAGGCAGAATCTTGTAATGGAATGTCAAATATTTCCAATTCATGCATATTTTTGAGGCTAGAGAGGAAGGCATTATTACTATTCAAAGTTACTATTGATCTCTTGACCTCTCCACCTCTCCATTGCCAAATATTATTATTGAATGAGTAAAAACATACAGAATCCACCTCCACCATCTTCTCCCCACAGGACACACTGCTTTCTATAAATGAGTTCCATCTCTTCAAAAGAAATAAGTGGTAGTTATTTGCTCATCACTATGTGAATTGTGAATAGTTAAAAGTTGAATATTTTCCACTGCAACCAACTTTTTGATGAGATACTTTTATTCCTTTTTTCAGTGTACAGAATAAATGTGATGTAATTATTAAAGTACTTCATAGTGTCTTATGAATACAATTTTTATATGATCAAGTTTACATAAAAATAAAGAATTATAAGCGAAGTAAATGATTATGTCAAATGTTGATGCATAATTATAAGACAAATTTATATGAGCTAAATAAATTTGTTCTCAATCTCTTAAACATTATCACTAACTTCAAAAAGTTGAAAGGTCAATTACTAGTACTATCTTCATATTCTCTGAAAGATCCATCATCAAATGGTGAAAATGGTGACCCAGAATCTTTACCACATGACATGATTTAAAAAAAAGAAAGGCTAAAGAGAAAATGCTTGTCTGTTAAGTGACAAAAGAAGGTACTATAAACTCTAGAGTATGGCCCTAAACCTGTGAAAAAAATTAGACATAAATGAGAAATTCAGACTATTCACAAGTAATATTTCCTGGATAAGTAACATTATGTTATTAAAATCTTCTTCCTCCCATAAAATGTGTATATTCAAATGATGCTGATCATTGATGACCTGCAAACCAATTTCACAGCATGAAGGGTCTGAATATGTTGCTTCAGCACAAATGAAATTTACCATATGTCAACAGATGCCAGGATGTACCCATAAGTATCAGTACATATACATACTGGGTGGATAATATATACACATAAAAATACATTGAAATGTAAAGAGATCTCTATAGATTATGCAATTATATATTATGGTGATTTCCAAAATTTACTGAAACAATCTATTACTTTTATTACCAGAAAAAAAGGCTGGGGATGTAGCTGAGTGGCAGTGTGCTTAGCCTATCAGCAGAAACACTACAAATAAGTAAATTAAACAAAACAAAAATCCAGAAAGGCCCAATCTAAAACTATTAGGTAAACTCTACTACATAATGAAAACTTATCTACCATTTCCCCTACAAATTTTATTATTATCAGTTTGTATCTTGTTAAATACAAAATATCTTCATGGCTCTTTGAAAAAAGTCCTCAGGCTCAGTGGTCAAAATAAAAAACACAAAATCATTTCTAAATTCTAACTTTGTTTTTCTAAATGAGAACAGTAAGATGTTGATTTAAAAAATAAAAGTGCAAGGACCCAAGTTCAATCCCCAGTACCAAAATCAATCAATCAATCGATCAATCAAACAAACAAACATCTGATAAAATTTTTCTTTTTTTTGTTTGTTTGTTTTTTTGGTACTGGGGAGTGAACTCAGGACTTTGCGTTCATGAGGCAGGTGAGGTGCCACTGAGCTAAATCCCTGGCCCTAAAGTTTTTCTTTTTAAGGACAAACTACTTTGAATTTATAAAAATAAGAACAACAAAACATTTTGAAACTTACAGGAAATCCTTTAGTGATAGGAATTTCAATATTAAAGATGAGGATCCTGGCTCTGAAACGAGTGCAAGCTTTAATAGGTTCTTTGGGGCCACAAAATATACACCCAACACTGTAACAACAACAACAACAAATGAGGGAAGGCAACTGGCAGACAAACACATTTATGTCCAATAAAAATACCTCTAATATCATTTATAAAGAAACTAAAACAAGTAAATTAGGAACTTTTCCTCTCCTGTAGGTTAAAGCACGGCTTTACATTACCCCTTTCATTCAAAGAACATGAGAAGTTTGTGCTGACAGGTATTAATTTCAATCTTAAGTAACATTTGCTAATACTGTCACTAGTGTCAATTTTTGGCCAAATAAGGTTCAAAACTGAGCTAGTAGATAGCAAAATTTATGTGTTTTGATATCCTTTATCCAAAATGATGGTTGCTAAACTCATTTTCTTACTCACTTGATTTTGATGATATCTATCCCAACCAAAGTAAGACTAACATGATCGCCTGCTGCTGCCCAATCAACAGGTTCATCATGCAGGGTGATTCCTGGAAATGAGTAAGAACCAAAGAATACAGTGAAACACCGCAACACCGAACCATAACAACCAAGAGAGTTTGACTAGTTTGTGCTTCATCAGTCACTACTCATCATTTTCAATATGAATGGATTGAGAGTGAGAAGTTTAACTGCGAGCATTGAGGAAAACACACTTCCTCTAGACTTGACTCTTTCAGAACACCCCCTAAACTAAAGTGACTTGGACTTGCCCATAAAAGGCTGACTTCTGCTTATTTCAATCAAGATTTTTAAAGTCATTTACACAATGAAGGTACAGTCATGAAACAAGCCTCATTCAAACACCTCTGCCATATCAAAGATGCAGGCATAGTAAAACAGTTCAATTATTCCTGACAGTACAAAAGACAGTGTTGGGGAAGTTGTGCAGTAGTATTTTATTCTCTTTAGCTTTGCTTTTAATTGGACAACCACCCAAACAACAGCCCATGTTTTCTAAGTAATCCAACCGTGCTCGGCTATCATTTCGAATGGTTCTCTCAGCAGGCCTCTCAACTATTCCTAGCTCAAGGAGACCCTGTTCTGAGAGAGATCTGCATACTGACAACTGGTTATATAAGGAAAAGTGGTATGAAAATTTAATTTTAAAATGAACCCAGGGGCTGGGGATGTGGCTCAGTGGTAAAGTACTTGCCTAAGCATATGCACAGCCAGGCTTCAATCCTCATTACTGCAATAGGTAAACAAACTCAAGTTTTGGTATATACCTAGACATACACGCTATTTACCTAAAGACAGTCCTGGAGGTAGTCTTAGAGAGCAGTTCCCTAGAACAATACTCAGTTATCTCATTCAAAGGTTTTTAAGTCATCCCATATTTTCTGATTTTATGGGTTAAATTTATTGGTTAAGTTCCTTCCCATTGGAACCTGAGCCTTTTGTTGAAGACAGTATGTAGGTCAAACACCAGAACAGTTCTTGACTGAAGTTTTTAATAAATTACAATTCACCCATTTCTTTTTTGGTATCAGGGATCAAACTCAGGACTTTGCAAATTCACCCATTTCTTAATGAAGATATATTTTTTTCCCATGTAGTATACTCCCAAGGGAGAATTTCTAGCTTGTGAGGAGTTCAGAGACAAGCTACAGTTACACAAAATTTCATGTATGCACCGATCAGCATAAACCTGAAAACAGAGGGCCTAACTTTAATCAAGTATCTAAGGGATTCTTGACTCCAAAAATGTTAGCAACTATTATATTCAGAAATGTTTGTCAAATATCAACTAATTTTTAAAGGCAACATTTACAATAATGTCTGGTTTTGCTGTGAGATACAGGACTGAAAATCAGAGTCAGCTATTTATATACAATAGAGATTGCCTTTGGCTTAAAATTTTGAATATTACAAATTCAATTAACAATATGAAAATTTCCAAAGTTAATTACACTATCTGGTTCTTCTCTTCCTCAACCATGTTACACTGTCCCATTTTTGCCTTCCTAAGTACTTTTCTCATTGGCTAGACATTACAAAAAGAGATTCTTTTTTAACATTTCTGCTTCATATGTTAATAAAGTAAAAAGCAATTTGGAATTTCTACTTATTGGCAGCATATTCAGCCAAGTCTCCTTCTTGAGATACTACCAGTTAGTCACAGTAGCACTTCAAATATTCAAAAAGAAAGGCATAAAACAAACAAACAAACAAACAAATGAGAGCAATGGGGTCAAAACTAAGGTCTGAGAACCTCCCACAGTCATTAGTAGAGAAGCTTTCAGGAGTAGGTGCTTCTCCTTGCCGCTTCTCTTCTAAGAACCACTGATTAAAGTTACACTTGGCGTTTCTCTGTGGGCAACAGACAGAGAAAAGAGAAGTAAAGAATATGGGACTTTTAGAGAAGACCAAATAAAGATTTTAGAGGTCACAAGAGAATCTATCTAAACTCTGTGATCATTTTAGGATCATAGTCTTAAGTCGCCACTGTTGATTTTTTTTTTAAAGTTCTTATTCTCAGAAAAACTTACTGACATATAGAGAAATAAATATTTTGAAAGTATTATAGTTCCTGACCACTTTTACAAACAAAATAATAAAACAAAGCAGAGCACCGTACTGGCAGATCTATAGAAAATGACACTTTTGAAAGTATATATTACTTTTATCTAAACAGAAATTTCACGACCCCTCGCTGGCAAAAGAAAAAAGGCAAAAGAGAACAACACTTGGTTTTATTACCTTACGTGTCTTTAAAAATATGTTAAACATATTGCTAAACATACTCATTAATTTCTTATAGTAACCAAGATATCTGCTTTAAAAGTAACCAAATTAAATATACATTCAAATTTATAAACTAGTCAGTTGCAAGTCTGTATATAAACTATAAATTAAAAGTAATGAAGAGAAGCAATGAAATTTTAACACTCTCAGAAAGTTGCAGTTCAACTTAAAACTGTTATAAGTCATGTTACTTTATGGTATAAAATAATCTTCAGGTTTATGCTGAAGCTAGAGGCTTATGTGGAAGTCAGATTAAGTATAGAACTATATACTTTTAAACTGAATTAAGAAAAGAATAACATGAACATGATAAATGATTAGAAGGCAAATAATTATCAACAATCATTAAAAGCCATATCAGATCTTTGTGCAAATGCAGTGGTTGTGGCAGTTTAGCTCTATTTCTCTTTTAACATTAGATTTTCCTGCATTTGTATCTTTCATAGGTCTTTTTATATGTAAAATGTTTATATAGTATAGACATGATCAAAATTATCAATTTATTCTGAAATACACATTTCAAAACTAGCCACTGGCTAGTGTCAGTTTTGGTTTAGATTTAATTTCTTCTACAGATACGATTTTAATTGTATCTCTGTCAGTTGTCTACACATCTGGTTCAATCCTAACCAGGCTTCTTGAATCAGTGTCAAAAACAGAATGCTACCACAGTTAGAATACACATATATTTATATATAGTCACAGCAGAAAAAAATTAAGTTTTCACATTTTAATCTTCAACAGTTAGTATCATTTTGACAGTCAGTTACAATTTCAGTAAGAGGTTATTAACTTTGGAGTTATAACTAAACTACATTTAAAAAAAATCTGCTTGGGCCGGGGATTTAGCTCAGCGGTTTTGCTGCCTGCTGCGCAAGCGCAAGGACCAGAGTTCGATGCCCGGTACCAAAAAAAAAAAAAAAATCTGCTGTCTCAAGGTTTGCCTAGCAAATGCATGCTGCACCTGAGTACCTTTTGCAGTACAAGTTTCATTAGGCGGCATTGCTAGTAGTCGATCACCAGTCTGAATATAACCGGCTTCAATTTTACCCGTCACACAAAATCCAGATCCTTGATCTGCAAAAAATGTCAAAATCCTATGATTTATATAGCAATGTTATCTGATGACTATACTGTATATTTAGTTATAGAAAACTAGTAGTTTAATGGACATAAGCAATAGTCATTTCAGATTTTTTAACATCTCTAAGTATGGCATACAGCATTCCTACTTTTTTCTCACAAATAAATATACTCATACTACAAAAAGGGGAGGTTCATTACTTTCTCAAATATTTAATGAGTAACAGGCACTCTACTAAACTGAGGGAGAAAGGATGAAAATATAAATCTCTACCTGTAAGAAATTTTACCCTAGTAAAGAGAAAGACAAAAACAATCACACTGAACTAAGACAAATGCTGTTTAAAATAAGTAAGAATCCATGACAGCTTGCTTAGGGTATTGGTCAATGGTAGAGCACTTGCCTAGCACAAGATCCACAAGACCCTGGATTCTATCACCAGCATCACCAAGGGGGAAAAAAAAAAGGGTTGGAACAGGTAAAACCTGAAGCAACAGAGGCAGGGAAGGGAACATAATAAAGGGCCTCACAAATTACATTTAGGGTCTAAATTTTATCCTACAGCTTAAATAGGAAGCCAGTACAGAATTGTTAACACAGAACTGACATGAAAATATTTCTGTATTTGAATGGAGGCTGATAGAAATATACACACTGAATATAGGAAGGAACAGTCAAGAGTAGGAATAAAGAATGGCAATTTAGAGTTAAGTAAGTGAAGCATAATGACAAAAAGGGAGAAATCTGAAAAGACCATGCATAAGTTGGAGACAGGAAATTAAGAACAAGATGCATTTTAGCCTTGGCAAATCTGAAGTGCCTAGGAGATACAGGTGACAGAGCTGCATTCCAGGGGGACAAACCACACCACACTGCATGACATGGTACCCTCAGGGCACTCATGGGGGAGCTATTTAGCTGCAGTAGAGCACATAGGTGTGAAGGGCAAGTAAGCAAGCCTGGTAAGAGATACAGATTTGGGAAGCATTAAGACCCATGCAATAGAGGAACTCAAGGAAGTCAGAACATAAGGAGTACGCAGAGTAAGAAAAGAACTGAGGCAACTGAACACCATGTAGAGTTAAGAGAATGGGGAGCCCTCAAAAAGTAAAGAAATGAGAGAAACAGGGGAGCAGGAGAAAGCAGGTCACAGAAACCAAGGTAGAAAAGTTTCAAGATGGATGTCTGCCAGCATCGGAAGTAATGTCAAATTCAAGGAAGAAGATAGAACTGACAAATGTATACTGACTTTGGCAACCAAGAAGTCACTTAGTGACCTCAGCAGACACACTAAGGGGAGCAGTGGAATAGTGCAGGTAGAAGCCAAAAAGCAATCGAAAGTGAGAATAAGGTAAGAATTTAGAGTCAGCAAGCAATTATTAAAAGTAACTACCTCTTGTATTTTTAATAAATAATTATGTCCCAGGTACTGGGCTAGGCCCTACAGATAGAGAAGAAAGTCCTTCAGGGAGTTCACAATCTACATGAAATAAATAGCATGGACACAATTCTAACACTGCATGATAACTGCAATGATGAAGGGTACCGAGGAGAACACAGAGGGATGCCTTGGGGTATAAGTGAGGCTGAGCATGCTCATTACCCATTTATTGCTGCTCACTTCCTAATCTACTCTTCACTGCCTGCTCTGGGTCAGTGGAGATTTGGGGGATAACTGACATTTTTACAGTAGTGATTATTCCACTATATAAATGTAATACTAACTGAGATATTTTATTCTATTTCTATTTTATAGCTTTCTAGATAGGATCTAGTTCAGGCTATCATAGTTATTAATTCTTTATATTAAATTTTTCCTTATACCCATGTGTGATATCTATTTCCCAGGTGGACTCAGACTGCTTCCAATGGGTAGGAAATGGGCAGAGAGAACCCAGAGAGAGAATAGCAAGCATGGAAACAAGGATAGAAACAGTTGCAACAAAGATTCTAGATTATTAAGAAACAGAACAATCCGTCTGGTTGGAGCATATTGGAAACTAAAGGGGTCTAATGGGAGAGAAAAGCCCACAAGATTAAAAAGATAAAAGATAAGATTTTCTTATACTTGAAAGATGAATATGAGATGGGAAACAGTGAGTCAATTGAAAGTTTTTCTAGGGAGGGGAGCTAAATGACTAGAAATCCACATTTTAGAATTAATTTGACATGGATCTTTATATTGGTATGGGAAGGGAGAATCTGAAAACATTAACTTTATCCAAGAAAGGAGGACAGGACAGAATGAAAAGGAGCAAGGCATAATGAAAAAGCCCTGTAGAGTTAACACTTACCTTTGAACACATCTGACACACATAATCTAAAAGGCTTGTCAATAGATCTTTGAGGAGGCTTGAAAGAATCTGAGAGAAAATGGCAAAAAGCAGGGTGAATTCAAAATGTGGGGCTATGGATGTAATTTAACAATAGAGCACATGCTTGGAATATATAAGGGTCTGGATTCCATCCCCAGCACCAAAAAAACACACCAAAAAAACAACAAAAAAAACCTTTTTCACTCTCTCTAATGAATCCATTATAGTCCCACTTCTACTAGAAAATAATTGCACCTTATAAAACCTAATAACAGGGCCAGGCATTTAGCTCAGCGGTTCCAGCACTTGCCTTGCCAAGTGCAAGGTCCCGAGTTCAATCCCCAGTACCAAAAATAAGTAAATTAAAAATTAAAAACTAAGAGCAAATGACTATCATTCATATAGTACTTTACATTTATAAGACATATTTACACATGATTTAATTTCAACAACAGTCTATGAGACAAGTAAGGTACAGCAGGCATTAGCTTTGTTAATTAAAATGAAGAAAGGTGAGTATTAAATATTATACATTGTTTCAAAACTGGAAAGCTAGCTCCTCACACTACAAACTACACATTTTCATATAGATTACTACCCATAAAGAACTCTAAATAATGCATTGAAATTAGAATGGCAGTATACTTACCAATTTGTTCTAATAAACATAGTCCTTTATACCATTTCGTGAGTTCATTCAACTGAGATCTTGTGATTAGATTTTCACCACTGAGACCACTTGTAGGGATAAAAGCTACATCACTCTCCTGTTAAAAAGACTGAATGTATGAAACTTGATACTACTTGTTTCTAAAAAAGGTAAAAGATTCACTATTACATAACTGCATCAAGTTTGCAAATGCAACAATATAATTTTTTAAATAGATGATATTGTATAACTACAGCCCTGAGGTTATTGGATCCAACAGTTTTCAACTTTTTTGATTTTAGGAGAAATCTGCAAATTTACTTCACAACACTCAAGTATTTTTACCTAGTGATACAGGCATATTACAGATTTTTGCTACAGAGAGAAATTCTTCTCTACCAATATTCCCTAAACCTACACGAACATAATTGGTGAGGGAAAATTCTTACTTATATAAAATCCAAGCCACATATTCAACATACGCAATTGTCTAAGGTCAAGAAAACCAAGAAATGATGGAGGAATAAACAGCAAAAACGAACATATTTAACAAGATAAAAATACTATTAGTATTAGTTTTTTTCTCATATAAATAAAGTGACTTACACAAGTAATACATTTTAAATTATCCTACCTTAAAGCCCGCTTGCTTAAGAAAGTGCCCAAGTTTTCCAGTAATTTCTTGAAACCTTTCTAGTTGCCAATTAACCTGATAAAGATTCAATTTGCTTTTAGAATTATACTTCAGAACATAATATATAAAATTTTAATTTCTATAAAATTTTAATTTCTACAAAATATAATCAAAACAATATAAAATATAAACACAAAATCTATTAAATATAAAACCTATTAATATTAAAACTCAAAATTTAAGATCATACCATTAACATAATCTAAATAAAACAGAAATTCTAGAAATAATCTTCAATATGTTTAGAATTTTTACATAAGCTAAAAGTGATTTCAAATTTGGAGAGAAAAAATGTATAATTTATTAAATTGTGCTTGGGTCAACTCGTAGAATAAAATAAAAGTATAGACACCTATCACAGCCAATCTGACTAAAAAAGTATATGCAACATTAACTCTAAATAATGATATGCAGTATTTAAAAGTGTACTAATGTCTACAACTTATGTGAAAAACATGCCAAATAAGATGGATTAATAAATGGATTAAAAAAGTAGAGAAAAAACTGTGACCAAGTAGTAGAATCTTAAGTAGTAGCTGCAATATCAGTGTTTATTGTAAAATTCAACTTTACATGTAAAATTTTTCATAATAAAATGCTAGGAAAAAATTTTAAATACATATAATAATGATACTATAAAATTAGTAATAGAAAATATAGGTGAATCTTTATCTCATCCTAGAGTTAAAAACATACCTAAACATATACAAAACTGTCAGAAGGAAACATTTATATATTTGAGTATATGTTCAAAACAAACTATAAACAAAATCAAAACTGAATACACTATATAAATAATTCCCTACATTAAAAAGATATATTTAAGTATTAATATTCATAGGACAGTACATTTTTTAAGAAAAAACACGTTTTGTATATCAAATCAGATAATTTTTTAATAACAACAATGTTTATAAATGTCTAATAAAGAAAATACACTGTATGTGCCAAGAGTAAATACCTAAGAACATTTCTCAAAGGCATTTGGATCATAATAATCAAATCTTAAAAGATGCAAATATATGCCCTTAGGCTCAGAAATTTCCTAGAATAAATCATTTCTAAATACAGTCACACATACACACAGAACAATTAAAAATTTCAGAAGTAGGAAACTGGATAATTCAACTGAAATTGGCTAGAATGAAGCCATGAAAACTTTTTTTTTAATATAGTTCTTAATTACTTGAAAATATACACAAGAATATTATCTTTTTTTAAAAAAGCAGGGCCAGAGATGTAACTCAGTGGCGCTGCACCTGTCTGGCACAGTTCTGAATTCAATTCCCAGTACCGCAAAAAAAATAATAAAGCAGATACAATACATTATAACCCAATGTTGCAGTATAACACAATGATAGCAATACAATTATTAACAACAGTATCATCGTTATTTCAATACATTTTGAGATGGTTTTGCACTTTCATTTTACTATAAGTGTATATTATTTTATAATTAAAATAATTTTTAACTTTCAGAAATTCATTTTAAAAATAAGAGCATTATTGCTTAAAAATTACTAATATTTCATTTATTTAAAATCAGAATAGTGGGGCCGGGGATTTAGCTCAGTGGTTCCACTGCCTGCCTCATAAAATCAGAATAGCAAATTTATTTTTTAAATGATGCCATCTTGATTAATAAAATGTAAACTACTCAAATCCAGGTCATCTGCATGGGGAGAATATCTTAATTAGTATTGAAAATAAATTTTCTCAAAGCCCTTATATACCTGATCCATTTTATTGACTGCAACTGCAAGTTGTGTCACTCCAAGAGACCTGACCAAGAGGCCATGCTCACGTGTTTGCCCTCCAGTCTCAAATCCAGCTTCAAACTCTCCCCTGCTGGCATCGACAACTAAAACAGCTACATCTGCCTAAGGAAGAAAAACCATTCAAAACTAGAAATAACGTCACAACACTTTAATTCAAAGGACATACTACTCAATTCACTATTTAGTCAGATTTTATAGGAAGAACCCAACCCCAACCTGATACCAAACACCAAAAAAAATAAATAAATAAAACAAAAGAACCCCATTGATAGGTTAGAATTTTAAAGTAAAAGATAAATACTAACACACATACTCAACCAAAAGTAATGATATCAAGAATAATAAAAAGTCCATACCTGACTACATAATAATTAGAATATCCAAAGGGAAAACTATGAATAAATTAAAACCTAAGTAAACAGGGACAAGTATGCTCAACATATAATGTAAAAGCTGTAATTTCAATGTACAGTCTTTACCAAAAAAGGAAAGAGGCAGAGCTCTATAGAAAACTAGTTAAGATGCCAGCAAACAATTTACTAAAGAAATACAAATGACCAGAAAACATGAAAAAAAATTTTCTTGAGAACCAAACAAAAAAAAGGAAATTAACAATATATTGACATATTCCCATCTTGTTTTTATAAGTCATAATGTTAAAGATTTAAAAGAAAATTATTTACTCTAGGCAAAGGTGCAGAGAGACAAGCATTCTCATTTTCTGCTTATGAAAGTACAGCTTTCTGGACAGCATTTGCAGAGTAAGGATAAACAGCCCTAAAATTATGCATCTTTTACATCAACTTCACCTCCAGGAATTTATTCTCGAGAAGTAACATGGATCTACAAAGATATTCATCAGACTATTGTTATAATGATGAAAAGTTATGAATGAATTAGCCAAACAGCATATTCATCTTCTATAGCTATTGAAAAGAACCTTGAATAACACACTTTCCTAACCTTTGTGGATGATTTTGTGAATTAGAAAGACACTCTGCCTTTCATATTCAATTATACTCAAAAAAGGAAGAAAGCCAATGTCAGGTTAGCTCATTTTCCTTGTTAGCCTTAATGAAACTGGCTTGGTATGATTCTCACTTCTGTGCTTCATTGTGCATTTACAGCATAAGCAGGAGATTGTATAAATGGAGATGTTCCTCCATTTCCATTCTTATCAATTATTTCTGTCAGTGCATTGCCAGGACATTAAAGAATGTTCATGCTCCCCTTCAGGTTTTTCCTTGAGTGCATAGCTGTTCACAAAGAAATCTGCTTTTCTGTAATCCAAAATAGAACAGCTAAACGTCATTGTATTCCCCTCATTAGCTATCTCTGACTGATTGTCACTTTCTCTCAAGGGTCTTCTGATATTCCATTCACATCATTAAGTGCCCTGGACTTTTGGTCACTTTTTCTCTTTCTTGCTTCCTCCATGGCAGTATGTTTTTACTATCTAGTTTTTAAAGATTTTCATATATATTATCATCTAATCCTCACCCTACTGGGAAATGAAATAGTCAAGCCAAGAATTGAGTAGCTACGTGGTCATAGCAGAATGTTATAATTTAAACTAGAGTATCATTCATACCCTTTGGTCTTTGAGGCAATTTACACTATCATTTCTTTTGCCTCTTATTACTCAAATACTCCTGCTTTACTTCTACTTTTAATCTTTCATGACCCATAATGCTGAATTCTAATTTCTTCAAGGACATCTAGTTCTTTTGATCAAAGATTCTTAGTTAAGACTATATACTGGGACAATCCACTTGAAAACTGGCTCTTTGGTTCACACTTATTGTCACAAGTAAGTCTCATACTTCAGGCAAGTTGTATGATCTCTCTGTGACACCAAGCTACTTCACAGAAACACAAGGGGAGAAGGGTTATATAGTTTATATAAACTGTATTTATGTCTATATAAAAGACCTAGTTCTTAACTCCTAGGGTCAATAATTGTACATCTCTCATCAGGTTTTACTAGTAACTGTAAAACTTACCTTTGCAGTTTAAAACCAGAAATTCACTGAATTGGTATTAAGATACCTAATGCCATTAATTAGTGTTCTACCTAATCTGCTTTCCTATTACGACCTCCAAGAAACTGCTGGGAAATTTCTCTAGTAATTTCTCATACTTTCTATGCAATAGTCCTTGTCTTTGGAAGTACAAAGGCTTTTATATTTTCAATATAATGGAATTCAATTAGATAATCTAAAACACTTTCTGAATTCTATAAGGAGTTTAGAATAAATGATCTTTATGATAACTCTGGATTCTTGGGTTCTAGATTTCAAAAACATTTTCCTCTGCTTTTTCTCATGTTTGCTTCTCCCATTAAACTCTCAAAATGTGCTCTGTAGTTAACACATCACCACACTGCCTCCCACAATATTAGACACACAGCAAGGATTCAATAAATATTCAATGAATTAAAAATGCACGCACACACATGTATACATAGACAAACACATAAAAGAACATACAGAGAAGTTAAAACCACACTCTATACTTTGGTAAACAAAAAAGATAAAGAGAAACTAAAACCACATTATATACTTTGGTAAACACAATGAGGATAATATATATACATAATAGGCATATTATAGGGACAGGTATTAAAATGGGGATGACATAGCCCTCACAGAATTGCTCATAAGGATTGTATTACACTAAATGCACACTTTAAATACCACAGTGTCTGATCCATATTAAGTAATAAATCAACAATCAACACTGATAATTATATTTCAACTTTTCATGACATTCAGTACATGACTCTTAATATTCTAAAATTATATACTAACTTTCTAAAATGAAACCAAATATTACCTATCTTCAAATATACTCTATACTTTCAGGTAGACAAATGCTCATATTAATATTCCTTTTCAGGGAGTGAAACCTGGGGTCAACTGCTTGAAGTTATAGTCAAAGTCAAATTTTTAAACTCTTTATATTTCCCAAAACTCATCCATTATGAAAGAAACCAATGCCCTATATAGTGTTGTTTTCATTAAAGTAATATATCTTTGATATTTTTTCAGTATCCTTATTAAAAATTATGTATGTTTACAAACTGTAATTATTTTCCAATCCTTTAAAGAGAGCATTCACTTATTTTATCTAAAACTGGAGCTGCCCTCAGTAGAGAGGGCAGCTCCAGTTGTCACATCAGCAACTGATGAGACCTGTCCATGTTTGAGGGAGCCTTCTTATCTTTGCCAGTCTGACTGGTGGTAAATGGTACTTCTGGAGTTTTAATGTGCATTTTTTCTTTTATAAATAAACTTTCAAATAATTATTACTTCAGAAAGTAAATAAACCACTAGGGTACAGAACCCAAGCTTTATTATTTCTGTATAATTAGCTCTTTAAAAAGACATAGAATTGGAATCAGAGTAATAAGGCAGATCTTGACACAGTCACTCTATCAATAAATGAAATTAAAAGCTATACTTCGTTAAATATTTTCTCATCATTTTTTTTTTTGTACCGGGGATTGACCTCAGGACCTTGCACTTGAGAGGCAGGCGGCGGCACCACTGAGCTAAATCCCTGGCCCATCATCATTTTGAACTACAAGGAATTCACAGACTTTATAGAGTTGCTAGTTTATAATATCCTGAAAAAGGTTTTATAAAGATAAAGAGATCATGAAAAACATAGCATTTCTCAATTTTTTCAAACTGTTTAAAAGTTAAATTTTTAACTTAAAAACTTAAAATCCTAGAATTACAACCTTAGCATCAAGAAATGTATGTACGAGTTCCGGGTCGGGCAGCAGCAGGAGCTGCAGAGGGCTCTCTGGCCGGAGCCAGGCGGGTCCGCGGGGAGGAAGCGGGCAGTCGGCGGAAAGGGAGCGGAATAAAGAAGGTGAACCAAAAAGGGAAAAAGAGGAGATTATAGACAGAAAATGTCAGGCAACAAAGAAAGGAAGAGTGATGGTGATGAAGCTCTTAATGAAGCAAGACACATCTTCATTAACTGATGCTCTAGAGCAAGTTGCAAAGCAACAACAATCACAAACATCAGAAATAGAAAAGAACAAAAAGGCTGTGTTCCATTTACAGAATGAACTTCATGAACTTGAAAAGCAAACAGCAGCAGTCTGTGCTGAAACTAAAGAAACAGAGAGGCAAATTTATCAGCAAGATGCTGCCATTGAGAATTCCAAACTTCAATGTGGAAGCCTGGAAATTCAAATCAAGACCTTATATACTGAAAATATAAAGCTTAAATTTGAAAATATAAAGCTTAAATATAAAGCTTAATTTTTATAGCAACAGCTCAAGAAGATTTTGGTGAACAGATGAAGAGATATAATGCATATTATGTAAAAATAAAGGCTCATAAAGATGGTCTGGGGGAAATAGAAAGAAAATGGTCATTTATGACTGAACTTTATGAAAAAAGAGATCTCATTAAAACACTAAAGCCAATGAAAGAGGAACTTAGGCAAGGCCTCCAAAATCCAGGCGGAAACAGAATAACACAAATACAGGAAGATATCTCAAAGCTAAAGAATAAAATTGAAACTGTAAAAGAATCTATCAGTAAAACAACTTGTTTTCTTGAAGAAGAAAAAAAGACACAAGAAAAATTAAAAAAAGAAATAGAGGCACAGTATAAGAGATATGATGCAATTCTGAAGCGTTTGCATTGTCAGGTAAACAAGCTGCAGTCAAATAGAAGACAATGGCAATGGAACATTGAACAACTGGAAAATACTGTAGCTGAACTAAGAAAATCCATAGGAATGAAAGATTAACATTGCCATAGGGCAATGTGGAACAGAGACCATGCCAACCAAAATTATGAGACAGAATATTAAGAAAATCTTTCTTAACAATAAGCAACCACTGTCAAAAGCCTGTATTAATGACAGATATATTTTCTCTCTTAAAAATCAGTTATCTATGAGTTAAAGTATTTTTCCAACCTTATAATAACAGCACTAGGTAGACAATAGCAATCCTTACAGGAGAATAGTGGAAGAGTTTCTGTGAATATTTCAAGTGTGTAGGCTATATTATATTCAGAATACCCATTTATAACCATGCTGTATTCACTACTCTACAAAGTAAAAATTTAGAAGAAAATAAACAATTGAATTTTCAATGATTTAAGTTGAGATATTAAAAAAAAATGTATGTACAGTTAGTACATTATATATAGTTAAGGAACTATCTTGTACCTGAGCTGCTCCTGTAATCATATTTGGAATGAAATCCTTATGGCCTGGAGCATCCATTAATGTAATAACTTTGGTTGCGGTTTCAAACTTTGTCATACCAACATCCATTGTGACTCCCCTTAAACAAAACATAAAATGGTTAGAAAGTACTACATAAACAATCAGATAGATTAACTTATTTAATAATAAGCTAAATGAACCTGAATTCTTAAGTAACAATGGGAATTTTATTATACAGGCCATTCTTTTGAATGAGTAAGCGATCAACTGGGTCTGGAAAAACTGCTATAATAGAATCATACCCACATAGCTTTAAAAAAAAGTTGTGGGGGCAGCAAGAATTCAATCAAAATGATAAGTGTGTACTTCCCATTTCCTAATTTTTATACATCTCTAGATGGGAGAAAAATGAATACTGCAATGAGAAAACATCGAGTGAAAAATGACACTATTGAGAATAATTTTCCTCATGTTCTCTGTTTATGGTTCATAAGTATACAAATAAACTTATAAAATGTTCATTTGTAAACCTGATCAATATGTTACGTAACTAAAAAAACAGGAGGCTATTAAGGGAGATTCCCAATTTTTTAAAAATTGCACTATGAGTAGCGGTTCCCATTTCAATCTTCTTGGAGACCAACACAGTGCCTCTTTTCAGCCACAAAAATGAAGATTCAGACTATAAGAAACTTCAAGGAAAGTCTACAAGAGCACTAAGTCATCTGAAACCTCTGGAATTTAGAAAGGGAAATCATTTACAGAAAAGCTAGGTTTGTCCCAGGATCATCCAAAGTAACAAATAATTGTACTTACTCCTTTTCACTATCAAAAAAATTCCAACAATTAGAGCAATGAACTACAAGCAGTAAAGTAAATGTGGTTTCTTTGGTCAAGTCCTCAGAGTTTAATCTGAAACTATGAGTCATTTGAGTTTGCAAAAGTGATGCCTGATTTTTTCTTAATGACTTGTAAATCATCTAGGGACCAGGGCAACCTCAGAACAGTCATGAACCAAGACATATTCTGAGCTCCTCCCTAAATTATTTGACTAAGGATATTCTTTGACCTAGCTCTGGTCTTGATTGGTAACTAAGAATATGAAAATGTTGCTTGGTCTGCTAGTTTTTGTTCTTCAACATCTGAGAAGAATACAAAATTTACAAATATTTAACATAGTGGAGTAAGTAACATACTATATTTTAAAATGTTATCCAGGAACACATAATAGAGTGAGCTAGAATTTCTATTATATACCTAAAAGCTTCTGCTATGTACATAATGAAAGAATACTATAAAAATTATATCAGGCTGAACAACAGAGAATTAGCAGGAGCAAAAATATGACAGCCAACCATATGTAGTACTCTAAAAACTAAAATGAGCAATCCCTATAGGAATCAAATAGATAATTAGCTTACTTTCCAACTCAACTCATATATTAAGTAAATTCAGCCAGGCCATTCTAACTTAAAATCATACTGTTCTCAGTCTTCCTGTTTACTAGATGACACAAAGAAAACTAAACACCATATACTTTAATAAGCTGCTTTTTTAAGCAAGTGAAAATTATCTAGCTTTCTAATATTGATAACATATACAAAATGCCACTGTTTTCCAAAAGTTGGCAACTGTCCAGCTAACTTTTACTAAGATGAAAAACAAGTTTGTAATATTACACAGAGATAAAAAGATACCTAAGAGGAGGAAAAAGAGACCAGTATAAATTCCTATTTATCAGGAGACCTAATGAGTATTATGGCCTACTCTACTGAGAACTATATATAACAATGCAGACAAGACTGCAAGAAAATAAACACAAAACAGTATGAAAATCTAGTTATATTCTCAAAGCACATTCAGATCGAAGACATTAAGGAACAGTTTAATCCCATTTAATTTAGAAGGATTTTCACAGCTTGCTAGTTACTATTTTGATACAGTTGATACATATGCCATTTCACTTAATTATTAGTGTCCTTTGGTTTCTCCATCCCTAACAGCTCTACTATGATAAATATTGGCACTCTGAAAGGACTTCAAAGGAAATACTATTCCTTGGCCAGAGCTATATAGAGAACCTACATTCCCTGATAGAATCCCTCTAAAATTAGTTGTAAACACAGATGTGGAGGGCCAGGGATTTAGCTCAGTTGTTTCGCCGCCTGCTGCGCAAGCGCAAGGACCTGAGTTCAATCCCTGGTACCAAAAAAAAAAACAAAACACAGATGTGGATACAGAAAGAATAACTGACTAGATATATCTCTACAAAGAACGCAAGTCTAATTATTCCTTTGTTCACTCTCATGAAAAGGTAATACATGAAAGTATAAAAATGAATCAAGTCTGGTATTTTTGATTCACTGATCACTTTGAATCCAGATAGAAAAATTTACTACAGTTGCCTTTTCTTTATAACCTGACAGAAGATGAAAAGTCTTACTCCTATCTTTAATTCAAAATCAAGATAAGTGAACATCACTTAGGGAACTAACAACTAAAAATTCTCCCACAGAATAATCAGCTTAGGGTTTGTGCTTCTTTATTCCTTGTTATTTTATCTTGTTTTTGATGAACATTCTTTTAACTAGCCTCACAGATATAGAAAGAAATATGTAATTACAATGAACAAAACAATAAAAATAATTCCTTGATAATTAAGGCTTTTTTTCTAAAGCATTTCATCATATGTTTAGGTACTTAATATATATAACATATTTTAAAGGACTGCATCACTTTAAACTGAAAACTTTGAAATATAGTGACTACCTTTCCCTTTCTTCGCCAGTCTCATCCAAGACCCATGCATATGCAAATGAAGCCTTGCCAGCCTTTTTAGACTCTTGTTCATACTTATGCATAGTTCTTTTGTTCACATTACCCAGGAGATAAAGCATGTGGCCCATCAGAGTACTTTTCCCAGCATCAACATGACCTAAGGAAAATTGATTGAAGATTAATACCAGGTACATTTCCAGATGTGGTTCACATTGAGACACTGAGTGAATGTGTGATTCAATAATTCAGGTCAGTGTTTACAGTAATCATATGCATTTTTATCAAATGACAGTTAAAACATCTAAACGGGGAAAAAAAGCTTGTCTCTTTAGAGTGAGATCATTTCCCCTGATCTTTGGAAATACAGGCCATCTTTTAAATGTTCACAAAATGGAAATGCCACAAACCCAGTCAAATGGCCTTCTTGGTAACTTGGCATTGTCACCCGGTGTGACCCAGAAGCATTACGATGCAACACCTCCTTGCTTTGCCTCAACTGCACTTGTGTAGGAACTCATCATTCCCATGCACCCCTAGAAAGGTGAGGTAAAGCAGAGCGACCCGACAGTTCAGGACATACCAATGACCACCAAGTTGAGGAGATGCTTGCCGCCCTGCCGCTTCTCCAGCTCTGCTTTCACATCTACCTGCGGCCTCAGCTTGCCAGACTTTTTTACTGCTGTTGGTGTTGAACTCTGCTCTTCTACTTGACTGGAGTGGGGTGGAAGAGCTGATCTAGTAACAGTCTCAAGAATGTCAGAAGTAACACCAGTATCTTCAGCAGCAGGTCCTTTTTGAGGTGTCTGAATAATATGACCATTTTCTTCAGCAGTTACCCTACAGAAGGCAGATAGGAAAGAAGTCCTTGAACTCCATTTATAATGTCACTATAATGTCAGAAGGGCACAGAAGATGTCTTTTTAATCCTTTAGTTTCTAGATCAAATATGATCTCTACAAAGTGGCTAATGTCTGTTAGAAAGTAAAACCCACACCACACAAATACAGACTTGAAGATCCCAGAAGAAAAAGTCTACCAAAACCTAAGAAAAACATATTCTGTAAAATAACTAAAATTTAAAAGCTGAAATCCATAGCCTTGGTTCTATAATCAACCCTATCAGATGCAGATGCCATAAAGGAGATAGTTCATAAAATTCATACCAAATGTGTTACTGGAGACAAATTAGTATTAGTTTTACCACTAATTCATCTTTTCAACAGGATAGACTATGATCTTTTTTGCTAAAATACTAAGTTTAAAGGGAAATATCTCTAAATGTCTATAGTTTAATATTTTTTTCAGAATAAGAAAAATTTATTGAGAGAAAGATGGCTTCTGTCTAAGAGAGTCAGAAGGGGAACAGGAAAAGTGGGTTGCCCCAATAGTATAATATTTTTGACAAAAGCACTTTAATACATAGTTCAGCAAACATTTGATTTATTTAAAACTCCAACATCCACTGATGTTGAGAAAAAAAAAAAGATGTACAAATGAAACAATCATGTATTACTTCCAAAAGCTTACAACTTAGTGAAAGATAAAGTAGAAACAAGACTATCTAGCTTAATTTATCTCTGTCTTGGCCAATGATAATGGCAAAGAGTGAGTTAAATTGTAAGATTCAGAACGAAGTTAATTATATCCAACTCAATGTGGATCTGGCAAAGAGAAACTACATACAGATAGTTATAATAATCACCTAAGACTGTAGTAATGGAAACATGTAAGAAGAGTAGATTTCTGTCTTGGCCCTGTTAACAAAAAAGATTACTTTTTCCCACCCAGGAGTTTAATATCCTCAACACTATCCCTTCATCCTATGCCTCAGGAAAAGAGACACATTAGTTACATTTGCAACTTCACTGAAGCCTCACATCCATCCTCTTCTGATTTTGGTTTTCCACATCTCCACTAACCAAATTTAGGCATTCATTTTTTAGCACTGCTTAGATTAGCTCCATATTGAACTAGTAGGGAACAAAAATTTAGTATGTGGAAAGTCTCTCCATATTTTTAAAGAATTTTAATAGACTAAATTAAGGAAAATCAAACTCAGACTATAATGAGAATATGTATTTGAATGATCACAGCTAGTTCTAAAATCAAAACATGACAATACTCTGTGTTTAGAGTAAAAATGATCACAGTTGAGGGGGGATGAGGAGGAGGAAAAAGAGGAGGGGAAGAAAGGGAAGGAAGAAGGAGAAGGAGAAAATGAAGAATTCTACCAGAATAACTAGACATAGACTCTGGTTCTGATCAGACCTGGAAAAATCACAATCTCAGGCTTCAAATCTTTTTAACTGCAAAACCCCTTCTTGGGAGGAAAGTTTATGTTAAATTTGACAGAGAGAACAAATTAAAAGAGGCCTGCCCTGGCTGACAGAGTGGATGTAGCCTTAAAGTTCAGTATAGCTACCAAACCAAGCAGCCCTCAAAGGTGCTGCTAGGCATCAAAAGGCCTTCACAAAACACAGGTCTGACCTGACCATATCATTACAGTTCAGTATCAGGAAAAATTTGCTCTTCTCTCACTTTCAGTATAGCACTCCCTTTCAAGTAAATCTTCAGTAAGCAGCAAACTAATTCGTTAAAATTATATAGTGCCGGAGGGAAGCGACCAAAGAAATTAATTACAAAAGCAACCTTGGATAAGTGTGCACTTAGTAAAAACATGTATGGAATAAAAGTCAATCTTTTAAGATTTGGAAATTCTCCAGAATAAAGTTTTAAATCGACCATTATAGGTTCAGGCCTATAATCACTGACTGGTATGATGGAAGAATAAGTTGAATTTTTTAAGTGTTTTCTGGTCTAATTTTGTAACTTTATCTAATATTATAAAATGACTAGTTTTGCTTTGTTTTTCTAAAGCACCTTCCTAAAAGTAGAGTATTAATACATGAATCTATAAGTTTACTCTTTCTTCTAGAGTTAGATACTTAGAAGACCATAATTTAGATTTAAGAGGTTAAGTATATTTTATTCTATATGCAATATTTTAACCATTTTTACTTACATATATTTTTTGTGCTCGCTTCAGCAGCACATATACTTACATATATTTTAGAGATATATTTACAATTTTAATACTATTAAAAAAGTTTTTTATGGTTTGTTTCATCCAAGCAATGCATTATCCTTCTTAAAAATATTTATTTGCAGAAATAGATCTTCAGTGCATGCTTTGTGCTTACAGAAATTCTAAATTATCTTAAAGATTCTTCTTTATTTGGAGTTTTTTGGTTTCCAAGTAAACAGTGTATTTTCTATGAATTTGATTCTTTACAGACTTTTTTTATATTTTAAAAATAATCTGAGAAACTATACATATTGTATCCTTAATCAAAAAAATTAGTTGTACTTTCAATATGTTCCAAAAAGGCTGAATTAAAGTTAAAAACCTATGTGCTTTAAATTTTTCAAATTCCACTTCTGAATCAAATCTGTTGAGTATTATACAGTATATTGCTTGCTATCTAATAAATCAGACTGTCAGTTATTTCATTAAATTATATCTATTTTTAAATTATATTTTAATCGACTTTCTTTCAGTGATGATCTTGTCAATACTAAAATTTTGTCATATGCAGTAATGCCCCAAAAGCTGAAATAAGAACCAGATTTGTAGTTTTTAAAACTATTTTAACCTTAAAATTCTTTATCTATCTATGATATGCTGCATATTCAATTATCATTTCAAGTAACAAACATATTTAGCAAACATTCAGCCAAACTCTATTTCAAAGGCTTAGACTCTAACGACTAGACATAGTACTAACCCTATGAAACCTGAGAATCCAGGAAAGTATGCTGTAATATGAAGGAAAACAAGACCATGTTTTGTTTATTTGATTCATTTTGGGGAAAGCTGTGGTTGTGTTTTTGACAAAGTCTTATTATGTAGTCCAGGCTGGCCTCAAACTTACAATCCGCCTGCCTCAGCCTTTTAAGTGCTGAAATGACGGAATACTAGGAGTACAGGTGTGAGCCACCACACTTGGCAAGATTAATGTGCATTTTTTTTTGGTACCAGGAATTGAACTCAGGACCTTACACTTGCAAGGAAGGCACACCACCACTGAACTAAATCTCTGGCCCAGCAAGATTGATTTTTAAGCTACTGACTTTTACCGATACAAAAGTCCTTAACAGTATTAACTATTCTGTATTTTTTTAAAGGTCCATTGGAAATCAAATTAAATAGAAACCTATAATGCTCCAATCTTAACTCAAAAGTATAGCCATGGTGAAATAATCCCGAAAGTCCTTAACAGTATTAACTATTCTGTATTTTTTTAAAGGTCTATTGGAAATCAAATTAAATAGAAACCTATAATGCTCCAATCTTAACTCAAAAGTATAGCCATGGTGAAATAATCCCAGCAAAGCTGAGGCAGGAGATTCCAAGTTGGAGCCCAGGCAGGGCAATTTAAGTGACTTAGCAGGACCCAGTCTTAAAATTTAAAAAAAATTTAAAGTGCTGGGGATGTAGCTCAATGTGAAGGCCCTGAGTTCAATCTCCAGTTACTAAAGAGGAAAAAGAAAAGTGATTCATTATCATTCTATGTGCATTCTTGAGATTAAACCAAAACAGCCTATGTATTACCCCTATTATAAATCTCAAAAAGATCCTATAAAGGTATAGCTTGTTTGACCTTGAGCACTATAAAGCACTCTGAGTATCTCAATCAAATAAAATAGACTTCTCACATTCTGATAAATTCTCCCAGAGGTCACATCAAAATGTTGGTTCACAGGCCATTTTCTTTTACCTTTATACTACTTCTAAACTTAGTTTTAAAATAATATATATTTCCCCAAGGGCTCTGATCAATAAATATTTAAATGACTATCCTGTGAAAGGAATATAATGATGAATATTAATGGTCCCTGACTTCATGAAGCATACAGTTTTATAAAATTTGGAAAGGCCTACATTACATTTGTAAAGTACACAGCTGGATTTCAGTAATTATTTGCTTGCGTTTAATATTTTCTTTGCTTGTTTTTGACAACATCTCACTATATAGTTCAAGCCAGGCTTTAACTCACTATATCATCCAGGCTGGCCTCAAACTCATGATCCTCCTGCTTTAGTAGCCTCCTGAGTACTGGGACTACAGGCATGTGCCACCATGCCCAGATTTCTTGATCATTTATTATCCATTATTTTTATAATGATTTATTTAGAGAATTCTGCACTTACTTTTAATGTGATACATTAATTCAAATCCTTTTGCATGTTGCTTTCTAAAACTGATGAAACCTTTTATATTAAGATTACAAACCCTCAGGCCGGGGATTTAGTTCAGTGGTGCTGTCACCTGCCTCGCAAGCACAGGGTCCTAAGTTTGATCCCTGGTACCAAAAAAAAACTTACGATTACAAAACTCTTAGAATAGGAACTGCACATTCTGTTTATTAGTCTTTCTCAATGGAAATGCTCCTATAATAGGATTAAATGGCATTCAAAAGATTAAGGATATAAAGAGTATTTATGACAGCTCAACCCTAATTCAGAGGCAAAAAGATACACAGCTTTTGTAACCAAATCTTAATTCAAATTAATAGATTAAAGTTACTCAAGACAAAAATTAACTTTTTGTTTCATGCAATCATTGAACTACTAATATATACTGAACACTTACTATGTATGAAGTCCTTTCCCTCTCTGAATTTGAAATCAAATCAACAAAGTTTTACTTTTGTAAAATCCAAAACTTGATTTAGGTCAGTGGTGGTGAACCAGTAACACTGGTTTTGTTATTCTTTTTATTGTTTTTCTTTTAAGACAAAAGGTGTTAATGTACAGTTGTTTTTCTACACTAAAACCTCAGTATTCGAGTTTAACTGCAGTGCTAGCACTTTGAGATAAATTAGTGGGTTTTGGGCTGCAGTCTGGCATTTGCTCTCTAAAAGGTTCACCATCACTGATCTAGGTGATCGATTCTTCCCTTCCTAAACCTGTGATGCTCCCATTAATTTAGATAAAACAATGTTTTTAAGGGAGTGAAAATAAGAATGCTGAGTTTACATTTTTAAAGTTAAAAGAACTTCACTGCTGTTTATATTTAGTAACACTGTTCATTTTTTTTGGCAGACAACATACATATAACTTTTAAGTAGTACTTGGGGATGACAAAAATCTTAAAAGTTTTTAAAGAGGGGGCCAAGGATTTAGCTCAGTGGTTCCGCCACCTGCCTTGCAAGTGGAAGGTCCTGAGTTCAATCCCTGGTACCCTCAAAAAAAAAAAAGTTTTTAAAGAGGTTAAAAATTAATGTTTTCAAACTGTCTTTGAGACTCAAGTAACTTACTTCCCTTGTCTATAAAAACTGGAAGAATTTTAGTCAAATAAAATAAAGTGCTACTCATGTACAATTCACTACCACTTTTCACTAAATATTCAAAATCCTGGGTATGATTAATTTTATGCCTAACAATCTATTTTATTCAATATGGAAAGAGATAATGATTATGTTTCACTGACTAAACTGTAACACCCAAACATAGGTACCTGCGCCACCTAGTGGTCTAACAATTAACTTAGGGTTAGGTTTTTTTTTTTAATGTTAAAGTAGCTATAAATTGTTTATGTAAGAAAATTGACAAGTGATATAGAGTAACAAATACACATAGATGAGGCTGGAAACAAGCCTAATTTCTCATCCTCTTGTCTTTGCACTACGTTATTCTGAGAACATGTGATACTTCAACGCTAAAGATACATTAAGCAAAACAGGAATAGATCATCTTATAGAATAATAGGAGGTAACACTGATTTCAAAAAAGAGGGGAGAGGATTAAATCTTACCCGGGCACTTCAAATCCCATAGTTTGCTTCTTTCCAGACACAGTCATTTTAGTAACTTTTGGCACAATTTCAGATTCACTTCGAGATGACTGCAATTCTATTGATTTTCCTAATTAGGGAGTATAAAAGGCTAATTAAATTCCTAGAAATACATAACATAGAAATTTTGATAATGGTAATTTTCACATAACTCATGTCTTTCTTTATAAATACATATCTTTTCTATTAAAAGTTTAGTGATCTATAAATACTAAAAGAAACTTTATCATCTTCTGGGAAACTCCCTATTGTCAAGACTCACCTTACGCTTAACCTCCACCAAATCTCTTCTTAATTTTGAACTGACTGTTAAGTTTCAGTATTAAGAGGTCACAAAGTGGTTTGTGCAAAGAGCCTGTTCTAACTTTATACCTAGACACTCTACCTCTCTCTCCCACCACGCCCTTTCACAATACTAAAACTGTCTGGTTAGTTAGCAGATGGCTAAACTTTTTATAATCCTGTGAGATTTATAAGCTGATGAAAAAGGTGAGAGTCTGCTGATTTTGCTGGAACACTGCATATGTCTTACTTGCACATAACACTAGACTTGGTAATATATTTGATATCTCAACACAGGGGAAGAGGTCAAGCTAGCAAAACGAATTAAGAGCATGAAGGATAAATTACAAGCTAAAGTAAGAATTTATTAACTAGGTCATTATACATGTAATTCTCTGAATTTTTAAAAATGTTTCTTCATAATTTTCAAAAAGTACCATCAGGATTGGACCCACATACAACTATGGAAACTGCATGAACTCCATTGGTAAATACACAGAAAGAAATGACTAAATAAACTGGGAAAGATAAGTTAATTTACAGCATTCATGCAAATGTTACTGTTTGCCTACTTTATGACAGGCGATATGCTAGACTCAATGGTACACATGTGATGCTTATGCTCAGCTTACAGTCTAGTATGAAGAACACATTCAATGACCAACAAATATAAAACTAAATCTGCTAAAGGATTCATACATGGTATCTGATAGGGTACATGAATTAAAAGCTTCTCTAGGAAAGTGAGAGAGCGAAGATGTAAAAAAAGAAGTAGAAATGGACTAGCATTGGAAAAGCGTTCCAGATAGAGTAGCTTGCATAATGGTCCTTTGTAGGAGAAAGCAAAGTAGGAGAGAAAAGAAAGAGAAAACAGAAGGGAGAGAACTGAAGCAGGCGAGGTGGACAGGGCCAACCATGCAGGACCTTGAGACATACCAAAGATCCTAACCTTTGTTCCACAGAAGTGCATACCACCAAAATTAGCCAAGCAAGTGGTGGGAAAAGGAAAGAGAAAGGAGGGAATAAAATAAATGAGTAACCCCTGAAAAACAGTTTGGGAGTAGAAAAATAATGAGATTAGAATGTATTAGAAATCCAGAACATATGAGGGCTCTAAAAGGGAATGTCAAATATGCAGTTCAGGAGATTGGTCAAGCTCAAAGGGGAGGTCTGAGCTGAAGCGTGTATTTGTGATTCATGAGCACATAACTGATACTTGAAGACATAACTTATGACCACCAAGGGATAAGATAGAGGCAAAACTGCGGAAAGTGGTCCTAGCACAAACCCTTGGAAGAATACCAACAAGCAAGCACAGGACAGATGACGACACACCTGCAAGAAGGTGATGGAGAGCCAGCAGAGGTGGTGCCAAGGAAGCAAAGGAAGAGAGTTCGATGGAGTTGGCATCACCAGAATCTGTCAAGTAAGATAAAGACTAAAGACATCCACCAGTGAAATGATCATTTTAGAGAAATGCCACCAGTACAGTTAGCAAAAGGCATCGGAAAAAGTGAGGGAAATAAAAGCCAGAAAGGGTTACCAAAAAAAGAAGTTGGGAAACAGAAGCAGAAGTATATTGTTCACTACCTCTTATCTGTAACCCCAAAGTCCAAAAGCACTGAAATATTAAAAGTTCTTTTTAAAATAACTCATTGGGAAACAGAATCTAACATGAACTGCCATGAAGGTATTTACCTATAACCCTTATCTATTCCATTGAAAGTGAGAAACCACACATTTCAGGATGGAAATAATGCGTTTGATTATAGGATGCTATTTGTTCCACAATGCACAGGGGCCATTTTAACACAAATGGTATATAACAGTGGTGGTAAACCTATGGCACAAATGCCACAGCGGGCACACAGAGCCCTCTCTGTTAGCACATGAGGCAAGTCACCCCAGCATCAACCCAGAAGCCATCATCAGATAACAGCACACATAGGAGCAGTGTTGGCACCGGGTGTGGGGTTCTAGTTTGTACACTCAGGTCTCTAAAAGGTTTGCCATCACTGGTATATAATGTTAATGCTCTTCTAAACCCAAAAATTCTGAAATTCTGAATTAAATCTGGTTCCATGGGTTTTAGATAAGTTTTTCTGGAAAGGGAAGAATGTGGATAGATGGACAACAGAAGGGAGATGTGGGAGGGGCCTGGGATTTAGCTCAGTGGTGCCACAGCTCCCTCACAAGTGCAAGGTCCTGAGTTTGATCCCCAATACCAAAAAAAGGGAGTTGTGGGACCAAGCTAATGGAAAAGATAAAACTGAGATGGATTGGTTGACTATATCAGGAAGAGATCATCAGTATTTCAATGTTTCTGAGGCGGCAGAAACTGAGCCAAGATTGAGAAAAGGGTCTTTTATTGCAAAAAAGAAGGCAAATGTTAGAAGTTCAAAGATGGTAATTCTGAACAGATGGCTTTTATTTTCTCCTTATCACAGTAGTTAGTTACCTGTTGAGACTGAGACTGAACGAGAAAAGTAAAAAAAATTCAAGAACTAAATAAGTTTTTCAATAACTGCTGCACAAAAAAAGAGGGCTTCCACATTTAAAATTAAGGGGAAGTTTAATTCTGTTCTGAAGGCCCATTTAAGTTTTGTGATAATGAATTTACAGCAGAATCAACCTACTTTTCTGTGAGATTTTTCCCTAGCAATATTCAGCCATTCAGGAGAAGGCATGACTGTTTCACGCTGGGTTAGGATTCTACCGAACATTATGCAAGGAGACAGCACAAGGTAGAAGACATTGCCCCTCCCTCAAAAAAAAGGATTTGAGTTGGGGCATGGTGGCACACACCTGTGATCCCAGTACCCAGGAGACTGAGGCAGGAGGATCCCTCCAAGTTCAAAGCCAGCTTGGGCTAGAGAGTGAGTTTAAGGCCAGCCTGAACTACATAGCGAGATCCTTTCTCAAATCACACTCCCCCGGCCAAAAAAAGTATTGAGAATGTTAAACATTAGACTGAGAAATCTAAGCTGGGTAAATAAAATGATAAAGGGAGAATACTGATGCACTAAGAGAAAGAAGAGGAATCTACAAGTAATGATCTAAATATACAGTAAATATTTAAATTTTTAAAATTTAATACAGTAAAATATAATTACCATTAATCTCCCTCAAAATACTCCCTTTTGCTTCAAACACTTATCCTGTCATTCTTGCCACTTCTGAAGCAGTTCTGAAAATCCTCTTTCGTGTCTTTAAGAGCAGTGATTAAAAAATACACCTTGTGAACACTGCTATAGAGTGTCATCCGATAGAAAAGGCAGTGTGAAAAATTACAGTGTGACATCAACCACTTTATTCACTGGATGTGGCACCGTGTAGCTTCTGGTTCTTTCCCCAAACCAAAATGGCCATGAAAGATCAATATTTAAAATAGATTTAAGACATTGAAGCAGCCACAACAGCCCAAGTAAAGATATGAAAGAGGACTTCCAGAACTGCTTCAAGATAGTGGCAAGAATGACGGGATAAGTGTGTTCAAAGTGAGAGGACATATTTTGAGGGAGATTCATGACAATGTGCTTTTTACTGTAATAAATTTTTCAAGTTTAAGGATTCTTTGTATTTTTGAAATACCTTCATACAGGGCAAGATAAGGTCATGGTATGAGATGCACAATTAGAAGTAGTTGTAGTCAGAATGGGATGTGGGAATTAGTTATCACCTGAAGGAGAGGAAATTATAGCGAATTGCTGAACAAAGGTAAAAGTCACTGCAAATGAAGACACAGGGAACTAACAGTTCTTTTTTCAGGTGGACTTGGTGTTTTTCCAGATAGATGATCACAAAGTAATTATGATCACAAAGAGCTCAGGGTGGAGAAGAAAACCACCAGTGGCCTCAGTCTTTGATTAATAAGCAAAAGGAGTTATGAAGTTGTTCAGCAGATAACTGCGACAAAACTATAAAAACCTGATTCGGGCAAAAGAACGTTAAAGGAGCAGAGATTAAAGGAAGAAAAAAGGATGAGAAATAATGGTGTTGTAAAGACAGGAAAATAAAGTTGACTTCCCAGGCCCTGAGGTTTAAAAGATTACAAAATAAAATAAGGAAGTGGAAAAGTACTAGAAAAACACTGAGAATCACTTTCCATGAAAAAAACTAGTCCCTAGAGTTCCAGCAAAGGTGAAGAGAAGTGAGGAGACAAGAAAGGAGGACACTGAGGGCACTGTGACAATGTCATGATGGTGGTGGTGGTGGTGTGTGGAGGTGGGCAGTCAGGGAAGGAGGAAACACCTGAGTAAAACGAGGAACTCTCGGCTTCCTTCTAAAAGCAGGCAAAAAAGAGAGAAAATATAAAGCATAAAAATGTTTCTATCTAGGTTCTATGGAACTAATTCCAATGTCCTATTAAGTAAGGTTCATTTTTAGTATCTTCCAATCATATTCATTAAAAACTTCACCCACTCATACAGTTAGTACACAGAAATACTAGAATTTTGACTTTAAAAAGTACATACATACATAAAAGGTCTCTAAGCATGGAGAAAAATCAATGTGATCTTGCAGTATTTCTGGGGAATGAGATAGATTACTTTTCAGAGATTCTTAACTACAGGACAACAAACACTAGATGCAACATTTCAAAAATTTGATTAAGTAGACAGAGGTCAGTATTATGGATCTAATTAATTTTTATTTTTTTAGGTTTAGTATCCTTTTTAAAATATATAACAGGGTCAGGGATTCAGCTCAGTGGTGCTGTGCCTGCCTCACAAGTGCAAGGTCTTGAGTTCAATCCCCAGTACCAGAAAAAATAAATACGTACATACA